CCCTGAGCCTGTTGTACGACAAGCCCCACCGTGCGATTTACCGCACCTGGAACACCACCCCCAACCCTGCTGGCCCCTGTTGGAAGTGTCTGAGGTCTTAGGATTTTTAGCCTGACCCACCGCTGCTTGTGGCTGCTCTGGCTTCCGCTTGGTGCGGAAGTCCAACTCCATCTCCCTCTCACGTGCCTTCTCTACCATCCCATTCAGGGTTTTGCACCCTGTAAAGCTCACAAACTCTCGGATATCATCCCTCAACATGGAATGATACCTCGTCCTCCGTATGTCCTCATCGGTAGCATACTGTGGGATCAATAATGCTCGCTCCCGAAACTTGGTGGTGATCTCTGCCACAGTCTCGGTGGTCTGCTGGAGCTCCTGGGACTCCCTCACAATCTGTTTCACCTCAATAGTCGGTGCAAAATCCAAGTCAAATCGCCGAACAAACTTGGCCCATGTCATCTCAGCCACACCGGCTGCTCCCACCTGACTAGTCACCTCGCCCCACCAGTCTCGGGCTTTGTCTCTCAACATGCATGAAGCGAAACCCACCTTTTCCGCATCCGGGCAAGAACTCGTGCGTTGGGCGTTCTAGATATCCGTCACCCAGCGTCGACTCATAATGGGATACCTGATCCCGAAAAACTCCGGCGCTGCACACGCCTTGAACTCCCGAAACGAGGGAGTTCGGGCCCCGATCTGGCCCGCAGCAATCTCGGCTCTGATTGACCTGAGCCTCTCCTCCATAATCTCCATCATCCCCTCCTTTATTGTCCCAAAGATCACTGGGGTAGCGTCAAGGATGCCCTTCATCACCTCGGCTACAATGATCTCGCGTAGCCTCTCATCAATGAGCTCTGCACCGCTGCCCGATCCGAATCCAGATCCTGATCCCCTTGTCCCAAATCGTGTCACCACCATGCTGAACTGAAATGTCATAAACCATAATAATCAGGACATCTATATAGGGGATCTTCCCACACCGGTCCTCCTTACAGCTGTCAGATCTAACATTGGTTCGGGTACAGGTCCCACGCTTTCAGTAGTACGGGCCCAATACTACCTTTCACACCAACATGTACCTTCCCCAAAGCTCTACCTGATAACTCCAATTCATCCCAAAATAAATCATATCCCACAAACCACCGCATGACCCAAATCCCAGGTTGTCCTAAGATTTGCTCTACCCATATCAATCAGACCAATCATAAGAGGTTGCCTTTATGCATGCAAATTATACACAGAAAAGGATCAAATAGACTTTCGAATAAGAGATTCTACCCTAGGACCACAACCAAACGAGGAATAGGAAATAAGGCCAAATCACTCATTCTAAGGCTATAAGCTCTTAACCGTATACAATTTTAAAAGCATACACATAGCAAAATCCATACGATTATCAAAGCTCAAATATCAGTATAACATGGCTAACACATTGGGGAACTACTTACTTGGCTCGGCCGATCATGCGTGTTGCACTCTCCTCTTTTCTAGTATCAAAAGTTTTTAACTTTTATTTTTGAAAACAATTTTTACCATTTCTTTAGTTTGAGTCCTGACACACCCGAGAGTGTACCCGAATCCCTCAAACCAAGGCTCTGATACCAACTTGTAACGACCCAATTTTTCAAAATAAATTTTTCATTTTTAATTATCCAAAACACATTTCCATCATCCACAAAATCCAATTACAATTGTTTTCAAAACCCATATCAAATACAACTTTATTTCAAAATATCAGAGTGTCCATATGCTCGAGTGAGAGTGCACGCCGCGGCATCAAGCCTTGTCCTTGCCCTTGGGCACAAATGTACCTGAAACAAATCCACAAACTCTAATCTAATGCTTAGTGAGTCCCCCATAGCATACCCCACACAATCCACATATCACATATCATATTAGCTATAAAAGTTATACATATCACATAAGCCATGCATACAACATATAAGGATGTTGTGGGCTCCCCCAGGGTCTTATACCTTCATGTCATGGGCTCCCCCATGGTCTTTACCTAGGAATGCCATGAACTCCCCCACATGGTCTTATATCCAACTGCCACGGGCTCCCCCGGGGGTCTTCCATGCAAATCACATATATAATCAACTAGCATATCATATATCACAGAGGTATCTATCATACTAACTAACACATACATAAGTATGTAAGGATGTCGTGGGCTCCCCCCAGGGTCTTATACTAGCATGCCATGGGCTCCCCCACATGGTCTTTACCTAGGAATGCCACGGGCTCCCCCACATGGTCTTATATCCAACTGTCACGGGCTCGCCCGGGGTCTTCCATGCAATAACATACATAATCACTAGCATACCACTTAGCATAAAGCTAACTATCATACCACATATCTCTACTACAGCTAGTGTACCACATATCACAAAGCTAACTATCATACCACATATCTCTACTACAGCTAGTGTACCACATATCATAAAATGGTACGCGCAGCATACTGAGTCCCTGAGCCGTACGCGCTGCGTACGCTAAGTTACGCCCAGCGTACTAACAGAGTAAGCACTTTCTTCCATTAAGTGCTTAATACTAGATTTTCTAACGTCCAATAATCAGATCTGAGCTCATTAAGACGACCTAGGGCATAAAGTTGGCAACTTTATGCCTTTTCATGTCCCATATGTTCCCAACAACCCATTAAGACCTTTCCAAGGGTCTTAATCCATGCATGAGGTCAAAACACCCATCAAGACTTCATTTTTATACTATGAATGAACCAAAGGACTTCAGATCTAACCATTTCAGCCTCTGGAGTTACTCAACTCTCAAGAGGAGGTCCAAAACCAACTAAAGGGATAAAATAGAAAACCCTAGCTAGATCTAGTGAATAAGGTGGCAAGATCAAAGCTTTATACCTCCAGAAGATCTTCAATGTGAACTAGATGCAGATTCTTGAAGCCCAATATCACTCCAAGCTTGCTTAGCAACTCCTCCTTCTTGAATGGACACTAAAATGGCCACAAATGCACTCCTTAAGCTCAAAACACACTCTCTAATGATTCTAGGGTCTTTAGGGACGTTTGAAGGTGAAGGAGGTTGATTAGGGTGGAGCTCAAATGAGATAAGGATGCTTATATAGGCCTCAAGTCCGAAAATTAGTGTTTGGACATCCGTCACGAATGCCTCGCGTACTCTTGGTACATCCAGCGTACGTGTTGGCCCTCCGAGATCATCTATGCATGGTACGCCAAGCGTACTCATGAAGTACGCCCAGCGTACTTAAGGGACTTAATATGAAATAGTTAAAACTTCAAGGGTTACTATGGTAATACCTGAATTGGAGTGTTACACGCAACACATACACCCGTGTTTTACGCAATTCGTGATTTTTGGGAATGAACTCTGATAATTGTTCTTTTTTGAAATACTTCTAAATGTTGAGTAAAGGCTAATGAATGTTCTGGTTATAATAAAAATGAAATTTGTACCTTATGATTTTCTATGAGTTTCGGGATGTTACATTATAAGACAAAAATATAAGAATTTTTGTTGGATCTATATATTCAATAATCATTTTAGAATGATATTACCAATAATATATGATCATATGGGGTCACATCAATAACATGTTGACATAAATATATTATTTATAAGAATTTGATTATTGATAAAATAATTATAATTTTTTCAATTAATTGAAAATTATTTATTTTGAGGAAATAATATTATTCCAATTAAAGTATATGGTTTATATCATAAAGTATGATACATAAAAAGTCATGTATGTCCTTTTGGACTTAAAGACATTTTCTCTTTTAGCTAAGATGTCATGACTTTATAAAATATAAAAGTTGGAAGAATTTTATAAAAAAAAATATTTTTATTTCTTTTATATAAAATCCAAGAGAGGGGACAAGTAATGTGCTAGTTTGTTATTTTGATAAGAAAGTCATGCTTTAAAAGCATGGCTAGACATTATGATGAAAATATGGTCTTAAAGTGTTGGGATTCAAAGGGTAAATACTAGCTTGTAAAGTGCTTAAAGGTTTTCAACCTATTCTTCTTTCCCTTGGCCATATGAACGGAATTTTCATCCTCTTCCTTCATTATCTCTTAAAAGTGTTGAGAACTAGTTTGAAGAGTTAGATACTTTTGTTCTCTTTTAAGATAAAAGATTGACATTTTTTATTAAAGGCTTAAGAACTTATTTTTCAAGAAGATGGACTAGCATCTAAGTTAATTTGGTAATTGTTGGTGGATACTTCTAGATGAGCTATCTTTTGTACTCTTGTCATCACTTCATCAACTTCCAACCTCCTAAGAGAAATCAAAGTCTTCAAATGTTGTAATTTCTTAATCATCATATGTTGTATTCTACTCTTTCATGTTCATGTAAAATGATCATCGGTGGGAATACAATGGTTTTATGATTATTCAAAATTTTAAAGTTTCATTGCCGTTTTTAGTGTTTTTTTATGAACCGATTTTTGAATAAAACTCAACATTTTTTTGGAGATTTCCATTATTATTTATTTTCCTTATTATCATAACATTATATTTTAAAGTCTATTTTTTTTATTAGGATATTGTATTTTGAAAATTTTATCAATTATAGCAATAAGGTAACCAATTTAGAAAGATTAAATGTTACACATTGCTATTAATGATAAGCTTTTCAAATGTAACCAATAAGTTTTAATAAAAAAAAAACCCCAATATGCAATGTTGTAATAATTTTGTTGGAAAGTAAAGTGTTATTTCTCATATTTAGCTCATTTCTAATTAATAGTTACATTTTCTTTATTTAAAAGAAATTGTTGATACTTGAGTATTCCAATAATCAAGTATTTTGTGTTCAAACAATTGAAAAGGGTTTGAAAAGAGCCTATGGTGATGCTCTAGTATTTGGAGTTTGATATTGTACAATATTGCTCATATTTGTGGATGAAGAGTTCATCAAATATCGCAACACTTGCTACATTGGAGAGATAGCATGTTGACAATAGGAGACACATATTTACACATCTTATTCTGCTATGTACAAATACGATAGTGTCGGTTCAAATAATATAATACAACATTTTGATGCTTGGAAGAACAAAACACTCATTGGCGAGGTTAGGAGATTGAGCCTCATGAGTAACATCATTGTTGGACTCCGGGCAGAAGGATTATTGGATGTTTCCATCAAATTTGTTGGAGGGTTGTCTGCTCTTATTCTATTCAAAAATGAGCAAGCTGCTAAACACTTTTTGGATTTGGGGCAAGCTACATGGTTCTCCTCGCTTTCTGTATGGGACGGGATGAACTTCCCATATTCTAGGGTTTCTTGGCTAACAATTGATGGAGTACCTTTACATCTGTGGGATGGACCTTGCATGGAATAAATTGGAGGTTTATTTGGCAGGGTCATCTCATCCCCTGTTTCTTCACTCAAAATTACTGACCTGTCAGCTGGAAACGTGTGTATCTTGGTGAACTCGCCGATCCGCATTCACGAACCGTTAGTCATATTATGGAGGGATAGACAATACCAGATCTTTGTCTCTGAGGACTCTGGAGCCTGGGTGCCTAAATTTATGGATGAAAATGAAAATATTGATGTGGTGGATGAGAATGATAATGACATGGATCCTCCTATCCTTCAAGATGATTTCCTCGATGCAAACAATGAGGCTGAAGACGGTGAATTTCGACTGGACTAGGATGTTCCAGATGGAGAATTGCATGCCTCTTTCTGGGACTCCACGCCGCCTTAGCCACCTGTGAAGAAACGCTCCTCCGATCGTGGGGGTGCGGTATCCCAGGGGTCACGTCGCATTGGTCTCCGTGCGTTTGCCCGTCTTTCGAGGAGGATTTGGATGCTCTTTCATCTGTTGTCGCTGACTCAACTTTCGAGATCCATGTACCACTCGCAGAATATGATACTCACAATATTGGAGGCCCCGACCCGGCTCGTACTGATCTAGTTAGCCCATCCGGCTCTTTGGGCTCTTCTTGCATTCCCAATCCAACTCTCTTGGTTAACCCAACATCTCGTCCAATTCCAGACCTAAATTGCCCAATTTCCTCATCCCAAAATGGCTCGATTTCCGGGAACTCTCATTCCATGTCCAGGGGTAACTCTAAATCATCCCGTAAGCTTCCTTCTCACTCTCTCAAACTAAAAGATACCCTCTGGCTTCCACGCTCCTCTCAGATCTTGAACTCGAGATCACACTCTGGAGTCTCTCGAAATAACGGTGGGGGGTCAGGTTACGATCACTCTATTACCCTAGAAACCACCAACACATTGATTATTGGCGACCAATTGGGATTCAAATTAGATGGATTGAAGAGCATATCAGGGATATGGTTAAGGATGATAGGGTTAGTCATGTTTCCTAATGAACTTCATATCTCTAAATATAAGGGGGCGGGCAGTTCCTGTAAAATGGAATGGTTCCAAAGGCTGAAGAGAGAAAACAAAATACAATTCTTCGCTTTTCAAGAAACTCAATTCATCGACTCCTCTAAAATTGCTTTCAATAATTATTGGGATAAATCGGCTTTTGCCTATGATCACGATGACGCTAATGGTCGCTCTGGTGGTTTGTTTTGTATTTGGAATCTTTCTTTATTCAAAACAAAACAGGCGGTGAAAAATCAACATTTCTTGATTTTTGTGGGCACACTACAAGGAGTTGAGGATGATCTCATTATCGCCAATATCTATGCCCCACAATTTCAATCCCTTAAAAAATCAGTTGTGGAGTAATTTACTATCATTAATTAACACGCTGGAAGGAATATGGATTTTATTGGACGATTTCAATGATGTTCGAGTTCCGGAAGATAGGCTAAACTCTACATTCTGTGAACTAGGTGCTAGAAAATTCAACGAGTTTATTTTTCAGGCAGGTCTCAGCGGATACCCCATGGGCGGTAGGCTATTCACCTATATGAAGGATGGTGGTGAAAAGCTAAGCAAAATTGACAGAGTTCTTGTCAATGACAAATTCCTTCTTTTGTGGCCAAACGCCTCACTCGCTGCACTACCACGGGAATTTTCTGATCATTGTCCGCTCCTGTTAAGCACTACGGTGGTGGATTTCGGTCCATCTCCTTTTAGATTTTTCAACAGGTGGCTTAATAATACTAGTTTGGTGGAGGTTGTTAACACCGTGAATGAATCTTTTCTTTTCACGGGTCCTCCCGACAAACTCCTATCTTGTAAGCTTAGGCGGATCAAGAATATGATCAAGGATTGGAATGCCAAAAAGAGAGAAATAGAATTAGGTGAGTTGATTAAACTTAGACAATGGATCGATGCCCTTGATCTTATTGTGGAATCCAGGGGCCTTTCTAGTGTGGAACTTGAGAATCGGCTGGAATGGAAAAATAAATTAATAGAGCTTGAGCAAAACAGGTGCCTTGATCTCAAACAAAAAGCTAGGATCAAGTGGGCATTGGATGGCGAGGAAAACTCCTAATTTTTTCATGGGATTATCAATTCCAATCTATCAAATAACCGTATTCATTACCTTTCCATTAATGGGATCTAGACAACTGATCTTGCTGCTATAAAAAATGAGGTGTTTTCTTTTTTTTTTAATGATAAGTTCTCCGAATCCCTCATATCTAGACCAAAGCTCTCCTGTAATTTTTCTCGCACTCTCTCGGATTCTGATGCAGCTCATCTAACAGCCCTTTTCCTATCCTCTGAAATAAAAGCAGTTGTTTGGGCTTGTGGTAATGAGCGAGCCCCCCGGGCCTGATGGCTTCTCTTTCAAGTTCATTAAATTCTTTTGGGGCTCTCTTGAAGCTGACTTCGTGAATATCTTTAACCAGTTTCACACAGGTGGTACTCTCAACGTGGGGTGCAACTCCTCGTTTATTTCCCTAGTTCCAAAGACTAAGGATCCGATTTCTCTGTCGGATTATCGCCCAATTAACCTAATTGGATGCATTTATAAGGTGATTGCAAAAGTCATCGCCAATCGTCTCAGGACTGTTATTGGCTCAGTTGTGGGAGAGGTTCAGTCTGCATTCATTGCGGGACGTAACATTTTAGACGAGCCTCTTATGACCAATGAGGTCATCTCTTGGTTGAAAAGATCTAAAAGACAGGCACTTCATTTTAAGGTGGACTTTAATAAGGCTTTCGACTCCTTGATTTGGTCTTTCCTGGAGTCGATTATAGAACAATTGGGTTTTCCTCAGCTTTGGCGCACATGGATCATGGGTTGCCTCTCTTCATCTCGCTCCCCGGTTCTGGTAAACGGTTCCCCAACTTTTGAATTTTCAGTCTCCAAGGGCGTTAGGCAAGGGGACCTCCTGGCCCTGTTTCTCTTCATCATTGCAATGGAGGCTCTGAACGCAGTTATGAAAAAAGCATGTGATCTAAGTGTTTTTTCAGGGATTAACCTCCCTCATGATGGCTCGCATCTCTCGCATCTCTTCTATGCTGACGACGCTCTTTTCGTCAGAGAATGGTCACAAGCTAATCTCCTTAATCTTGCGAGAATTATAAGGTGCTTCAACTTAGCCTCTGGTCTTAAGGTAAAATTTTCAAAAAGTCGGGTCTTTGGTATTGGTGTTAACTCAAGCACTGTGGATCTTTTCGCTCACTTCCTTCACTACCAGCCGTCTGTTCTTCCATTCACTTACTTAGGTTTACCGGTTGGGTCCAATATGTCATTGGTTCGGAACTGGCAGCCCGTCGTCGACAAATTATGTGACAAGTTGTCAAATTGGAAAGCGAAAACACTTTCTTTTGGCGGACGAATTACTCTACTTAATTCAGTCTTAGGGAGTCTCCCGCTTTTTTACTTCTCGCTCTTTAAAGCTCCTTTGAAGATTATAGATGACCTCGATAGAATCCGTAGAAAATTTCTTTGGGGTGGGTGTGACTCTAGAAACAAAATATGTTGGGTTAGTTGGGATAAAATTCTAACGCCTAAAAGATTTGGTGGCTTGGGTGTGATAAATTTGAGAGCCTCAAACTTGGCTCTATTGGCCAAATGGCTTTAGAGGCTTAAAGTGGAACTGTATGCCCTATGGTCTAATCTGATCAGGTCCCTGCACTGCCTACATAGATCTTGGAAAATGTTCCCTGTTCGGCTAGGTGCTTCTGGGGTTTGGAAAAATATTGTTGGCACTATTTCTGATTTCAGTTCTCAAAATATTGCGCTTCAAGACATGTTCAAAAGAGTAATAGGGATTGGGAACTCTTTTTCCTTCTGCTTCGACAATTGGGCTGAGAATTTTGATCTTAGATCTAAATACCCTTCTATTTTTGCTCTTGAATCCTTTAAAATTTGTTCCATTGCAGATAGATGTCAGAAAGTGCACGGTTCGTTGGTTGTCTCATGGAATTGGCGGAGTCCTCCTAGCTCTAGCACAGAACTGTTGGAACTTGATAGTTGTTTGAATGACCTCTCCTTGGTTTCTCTCGGTACCTCAGATGATAAATGGAGTTGGCTTGGTTGCAGTTCTGGGGTTTTCTCTGTGAGCTCTTTACGTGGAGCTTGGGAGTCAAAAGTCTATCCCCTACTTGAGTATAAACACTTTTGGAATAATCTGGTACCTATTAAAATCAACTTTTTTTCCTGGCGAGCTGTACTGAATAGGTTACCTGTGAAAACTGAGCTCATAAAAAGAGGGGTTGTTTTGAACTCTGGTACATGCGATCTATGTGGTGCAGGTGATGAATCTGTTATACATCTTCTCTGAGAATGTTGTTGGGTTCGAGATGTATGGAGTATGTTTCAAGACTGGTGCGAGCTTGATCTCTCTGATATTAATTATGTTGAACATCTCCTCTCAGTCTCCCACTCCTTTGCCAAATCGCCTTCTCAAATAAAGATGACTCACATGATCATTCTTTCTGCTCTTTGGTCTTTGTGGAAAGTCAGAAACGACTGCTCCTTTAACAATATTGCTCCATCTCAGACCCGTATTTTTGAAGATATTAAGGCGAACTCTTTCATGTGGATAAAAAATAGGAGAGGGGGTACCTCCTTAAATTGGTCTTCTTGGTGCATTTTCCCTTTGATGTAGTTCTTGTACTTTTGTTTTTTCTACTGTTCTACTTTGCCCCTAGCTGCTTGCTAGTGGTTTAATAAAAATTTCGGCGTTCAAAAATAAAAGATAATTGAGGTTCTCATCCGGACCCTTACTATCATTTTATCCATCAATTTTTTTGTATTTATTTTGTGAGTTTTCATAACTAATACCAAGAAGTATTATGTACTAAACATGTTTAAGTTTAAAACTCGAGGACCAAATATGCATACCAAGAAGTATTTTAGTGAGCGTTTTGCAATTTACCATTACTGTCATCTCTATTATCTTATGTCGCCACCACCACCACCGATCGGTATCCGTTTATCCTCTCACTCCGCCGTCATCCTCACCGCCGAGACCACACAGTCAAACACAGACATGAGCGCCTGTAAATTCCTTCTCCGGTATTCTCTCTCTTGCTTAGACTTCAGCACAACACGCATCGCAACGTGTACTCCGTCTTTGCATTTCCCCCGCCACCGTCTTCTCTCTCAAAGTCCAGGTGAACCTCAATGTTTTCTCAATTGTTATACTTCATGTGAAAATTATCCTCTTATGTGCCTATGCAAACACTTCAATTCGAAGGTTTAGGGTTTAAGCTTAAAACATACCGGCATTCCTCAAGATTATATGGATCCATTCAAGCTTCCGTTTCGATTGAATCGACCGAAGATAGCTGTACATGTGTCGAGGAGGAGGAAGAAGAAGAAAGAAGAAAGTAAACGAATTTCAGTTAGAGATCTGTTACGGAGAAACACAAACGACGACGTCGCCAGCTTCATGAAGATGGAACGGAGGACTGAACCACAATCAAACCGCTGGTTTCCTTACCTGGACAAATTCAAATCTGGAAACACGTATTTGAGTAGCGGAGAGGTGTTGGATGCAGTTGATCCTTCTTTAATGGAGCTCAGAAAGGAGAGGTTCATGAACGTCGTGAATAATCGGACCTACTCTGTGTGTATGGTGGTGGAGGGTTTATCAGATCCCGGGAATGTCTCTGCAGTGTTCCGGTCAGCAGATGCTTTAGGGTTTCAGTCCGTTCATGTGGTGTCTCTTGACAGCCGGAAAAGGTGTTAACCCAATCTGAGGTGACTTATGCATTATGCACTCACCAATTGATGACATCTTTACAAAAAGTCTTTGAATTTGTTGTGTTGTTGGAATCCATTATCCATTCCTCTCATCTTCAACATGTAGGTATAGAGAGCATCGCCATATTAGTATGGGAGCTGAGAAATGGTTAGATATCGAGCTCTGGGATTCTGCTGAAGAATGCTTTCAAGTTTTGAGGTCACGTGGCTATCGCATTGCTACAACACACGTGGGAATTGAAGCTGTAAGTATGGATTTTATACATTTAGCTAAAGGTTTCATTCACATTTATGAGACAAATAATTTTTTTTTTTTTTAAAATACAGGTTTCTATCTATGATATGGATTGGTCATGTCCCACTGCAATAGTTGTTGGAAATGAGGGCAGGTAGTAATTAACCAATTACTAAGGGTGTGTTTGATATGCCTCTTACCGGATCTGGTAAAAGACTGGATCTGACTCGGTCCGATGACAATTGAGTCAGATCTGATTGAGTTAAGGCCTGATTAGGCCTTAACTCAATCAACAATTATCAAACAACCTTTAAGTATATGTTATTTTTTTTGATAAAAAGAAAATAAGATGTTATAACTATAATAAGCAAGGTAATGAAAGTAGGTTGCTATTTGTTGATATAACAGGGGGATTAGTGAAGAAGCTTTGAAAATGTCAGATATGCATTGTAGTATTCCAATGAAAGGAATGGTGGATTCATTTAATGTGTCAGTTGCTTCGGGAATCCTCATGCATCATGCTGTATGTGATAGAACTTCACGTTTGGTAAGAATCTTTTTAACCAATTTCTATTTTAGGACACCTACTTTCAAAATCAACGTTTAAGGTCCTTTGACTTTAATTATTATAGACGGAAAGTGTGTTAATTTTGTTTTTTAACATGTAAAGGGTGGTCATGGTGATTTAACATCAGAAGAAAAACAAATATTGCTTGCGGAATTTTCTTTAAGACATAGTAGGAGTTCAATGAGCATTGCACATGAGTATGCAAAGCTTAAGGTCAAAAGTGTATGAAACTTTGATAAATGAACACATGGTTCATATTAAGGCATTGTACTTTAAAGAATTGTTTAGTTATAGCATTTGTACTTTTGGGATTTTTTTTTTTTTTTTGGTTATGACAATAATGGATCGGGATTTGGAATGGAATTGAAATTATTCTTTTGTATATCTTTTACAAGAGTTAGAATGTATGCATGTTATATGACAAATTTGCCGTTTTTTTAATTTTTTTTTTTGTTGTATATATAATTTATATAAAATAGGTTATAAATAATTATAGAAACAAAGAAGTTACCTTTTTGTTAATTATTTGTTTGTGTGATGTAATTAGAAAAATCTTGCACAACAAATTGTGGAAATAGTGATATATCTTGCACCATAACATTATTTTTTTACATCAAAAAAATATATTTGAAGTATATTCTCTTTGCCTAATTTATTTAGATTTTCAACAACATACATTTGATTTATTAGTTTTTTTTTTTTACAAATTTGTCTTATATCTATTTTCACAATTACTTTAGAAATTATATTATTAAACAAACATAAATAAACAAATCTGTATATAATTTGAATTAGTTGTTATGTATTAATTTTACTAGTTGTGAAACCCATGTATTACATGGGTTAATTTAAAATAAAAAAATTAAATATAAATGTCAAAATATTTGAAAACTTTAAATTTATAGGAAAATAAGAAAAATAATGAATTATTATAATAAATATGTTTTTTATCTTTTAAATTTGAACAAATAATTTAAATAAATAAAAGAAACTAAAAAGCTTTATTTTTTTAGAATTTTGAAATTAAAAGATAAGTTCATTAATGAAATTGATATCAATTTATTACTATATTTATTGCAGTTATTATATTAAAATATTATAGAGAATTTAATAAAATAGAAAAACTCATAAAATGACATGTGGAAAAAAAATTAATTCAAAATAACCACAAAATGACATTTAGCAAATTGAATGAGAGTGTGACAAGTGGCAAAAAAACATTTATTTATTAAAGAGGATTAGATAAAGAAAGTGGCATTTATAATACAATTAATCGTCTATGAAACGATTATTACCTTTATTAAAATGTAACGATACAATTTGATCGGTTTGAAATTGATAAACTCAAACTTTAAACAACTAAAATAAACTAAATATGTATAAACTCAAAACTAAAAAGACCACAAATTACATTAAATCTTAACGCCAAATTTGATGTAGATTTATAAAAGTTGAAAGAACTATGATTGTTGAAAACTTTTGACATTGTACTTCTGGGATGAAGTTAACACAAGTTGCTACACGCAAAATAGATCCATTAGTGTGAAGAGACATTCTATGATATCTTAAGAAGTCCCTAAAGGAAGAAAACTAGACATATCATACTTTCATGTGTTTGGCTAGCCATGCTATGCTACATCTTGAATCAAAAGGATCCATTGTCTAAGTTTGAGGTCAAAGCTGATGGATGAATGAATCTTCAATTTCCAAAGCTTTGTGTGTCTATAAGAAAAAGAGAGATTATTGAAGAATTTATTCATGTGAAGTTTGATTACCATTCAACCTGCTCACAATCTAAAAAAACTTATTCATCCATATTCAATAGAAATTCACCAAGATTTCTCTCAACATTGAATCCCATCAAGCTCTCAACATTAAAAGATCATCCATCAAGTCAGATTATTGGTAATGCAATACAGACAAGGAATCAAGGTTCTATTCCTTGTTTGGATCAAGTATCCATTTGGTGTCATGGTTGCACCAAATTTGGTATTGTATTACTCATCTACTTTAGCATTAAATCTTTATGCAAAGAACATTTCAATCAGAAAATGGAAAGAAAGATATCAGAATGCAACCGAAACTCGGCTAATTTTAAATAATCGGTTTTTGCGCCTATTTTGATCTTTAATAATGGAGCAATGATTATGAGCACACATAACACACAAGGATACCAAAATGTAAATGCAACTAGTTTAGTTCTCAACATCAAACGTAATGATAATTTCTATGATATGATATGATTAAAAATTTTACAAGTTGTTTTAAGAAAAAAAAAAAAACCTGTTTTGAGTAATACCAAACAACCAACCAACGAGATGCTAATAATAGATACAAGAAATTACAAACTCTAAAACTAGAGTCTAATCAATCAATTAAAGGCCTTGTACTTGTAGCATCTGGTGATTGAATAGAAGATTTGGAGCTGCTTTGCATGCTCAGATCTTCTTGCTTCCTTTGTTGTGACCTCACAAATTCTTCTATTTTTTGTTTCAACTCTGTGTCTGGAATCAACATGTCCGGTGTAAGATGTGATCGATTGAACGGATCCGTCTGCCAAAAAAAAATTAATACAAAATCCTTTTACTGTGTTTGACATTTTTTTTGTCCCGCCCAAAAAATGGGACAGGGACTTGCTTTTTATTTCCCATTTGTGCAAAAGACATAAATACCCTCCTGGTCTGTGCAAAAGACGTAAATGCCCTTGATACTGTGTTTTCGCATGTATTGGACTGAGACTAATAGTCTGAAAATGACACTAAAACTTTTTGTCCCACTCAAGAAAAGACAAATCTCTCATATGTGCAAAAGACGTAAATGCCCTTGATCCTCGTCGTCATAAAAAATAGCACTGGAATGGGACCGAAAGTCCGAAACCGATATCAATGGGACAAAAATTGCAATTTTTGAAGCTCTCGTTTGTGAAAATGACATAAATGCCCCCCCCCCCCCCCCCCCCCACACACACACATAGATAAAAAATTTACAGGATCACTGAGAAGATGCCTCTGAATCACGGGTCTGTCTACTATGATTCTTGAAGATGGTAAAATGACTGGATCTTTCATCAGAGTGTACTGCAGATTCCAACATTTATATTTGTGTCAGTAAAACGTATTTTCTTGTTTTATAAATAGAAAAATATGTAAAAAGACAATATTAACCTGGATTGGATCAAGAAATTCATCTGGAATATCTCCCAAAATAGCTTCAGCATCCATGGCTTCCGATGCTGCAGATCTAGCTTTTTTACCTAAATCATCAAACGCCTGTATCATTCTTGGATCTTCACCGATTCTTCTAAGAACATTTGCAGCTTCCGTAAATAACTGCACACACATTTATAATTTATAAATAAATAATTTTTATAAAATCTTGTAAAAAAAACAAATTTTAAAAAAGAAAATACCTGGTCGTTGTAGGAACGTCCATCTTTTGTAATGGCAGATGGGAAAATATTCTCGTGATCGCCCCTTGCCAGATGGACATATATGTTGACAATCTTCAAGATATAAAAAAAGAATAATTAGATATTTATTACATTCCAAATATATCATTTAATAAAAGAAAAGAAAAACCTGTTTAAGCAATTGCTTTGGGCGAAACTCGTATTTTTCAGGATCTTTTAGGCTCAATGATTTTCTTTGAGGGCCCACAAGCTGTAACAGGAAATAATTCAACATACTGCCAACTCTTTCAACCTGAAATATAAGGAAATGATTATTAAAAGTTTATATTTTATAAAGTGGAAATGAGATTTATGTTGGGAAAGTAGGTTACCATTTCGGGTAAGAGGAAAGGGGCTGTGATTTGCTCAGTGGTGAAAGCAAGCATGCTCACGTCTTCCATGGCTAACTTCATGTCAATCTTAATAATCTATATATATACCAATCACCCATATAACTTCATTTTTAATACAAATTCATAATACAAATATTTGGGAAATTTGCAAAAAAGGACTTGTACTTTCATCATTTTCTGTAATGATTAGACCATAACATTTTTTCAAAATGGAAATGTACAAAAGGGCACAACATACTTTCTGCAAATTTGGTCCTGAAAAGTTTTTTATTGCAATTTCGATCCTTATTTGGTGTTTTTGTAACATTTTGGTTCTTGTTCCAAGTAATATGACTATTTTTGGGATCAAAATTGCAAGAATCAGCTATACTAAGGGACCAAAATAATAATTTCACTAGGAACATGGACCAAACACGTTACAAAAACCTCAAATAAGGACCAAAAATGAAAGAGAATACTTATTGGGATCAAAATCGCAAAAATCAACTATATTCAGGGACAAAACATTAAAAAATAATAAGTCAATGGCTAAATTGACAAGATAATGAATCTACATTGCGTTTTTTGGTATTTTGTGGTGCTTTTAGATGGTCAAAAAAGTATTAATGGGTAAATCGAGATAATGACAAAAATACCCCTGTACATATTTTGAAGGATAGAAGGGAGAAAAGACAAAATAATGGTTGTACATTGCGTTTTTTTTTTTTTCAAAACCTATCCAGGAAAAAAAATGGTGTTTTTAGATGGTCAAAAAAGTATTAAATTGAGAAAATGACGAAAATACCCCTATAAATATATTTGAAAGGATAGACAGAGAGAGAGAGAGGGAGAAAAGACAGACATTTTCTTGAGAGTGGAAAAGTCTAGTTCTCTCCTGTCTTTCTTGTGCTGATCTTTGTTCCCATTCAGTTGTGTTAGCCATTTCAGCTTCAAGCTCTTTAAGCTCAAGAATCTTGTTCAGACTTTCATCAAGAAGAAAGATGCTATCGTTGATTAAAAAGTTCAAAAAGTTCAAGTAAACACCCTTTTCCTCTTCTTTCGCAATCTGTAATTTTTTCAATAACAGTAAATTGTTAAATAACGAGTTGATTAAAAATTATAATAATAATAATAATAATAATAATAATAATTCACCTGTTTCCAAGCATTTTGGTGGACAGGGACTTGCCAAAGGTATTCTAGAAGTTCAGCAATGTTATGGCGGATGTTAAACTTGTCATAAAACTGCATAACATTGAAGAAATATCGTAAGAAATAGCAATCTACTTTTACTCAATTCTTTATTATAGAATCCAAATTTCATTTCTTCTCATTACTTCTTTAACTACTAAGACATTCTATTTTGAATATCTATGTGATTATACTTTTAATTTCTTTTCTTATTAAATACATGATATTTTGAATTTTTTTTTAAAAAAAATTGTAACAGTGAAAGTTGCTTTGTATTTGGATGACATTGCTAAAATTACTATTCTTTTGCTTCTTCTAATTGCATCATTGTACTTTTAACTTTTTTATTAGTATGGCTTTGTACTTTGGAATATCTAAACAGCTATATATAACATTGTTGTACTTTCAACTTTCTCTTATAAAAACATGATGTTTTGAAAAAACTAGAGAATTTATAACAGTAGAAACTGTTTTTGTACTTTGATGACATTGCTATTTCTTAAAATATTTGAAACAATCACTCACCTGAGTGTGGGATCCTGTGAACTCAATATCAACATAGAGTTTCAAAAGATTCTTCACAAGATACTGAACAGAGAGTTGGTGCCCCTCAAAAAGTGTACTAGTAGCAGACGATGAGCCACTGCACACACACACAACACGTAAAAAGACGTAAATACCCTTTGTAAGCAAATAACATAAGATGATAGAATCAATCAATCAAAATAAATAAATAAATACCTCCTACAAGGCATCCAACAATTCAAGACTTCAACCATTTTGGCTCTTAGATAAGGATTCCTAATGTACTCTGGACTTGCCATGAACATGATAATAAAGTTCATAAAATCATCCTGCCAAAGAAAAAAAAGCGAAAGTGAGACTAGAGAAAATAATTAGTTAAAAAAAATCTTTTTTGTTTTTACCAATTTGACACCATCTAAAGCACGTGGGATTCTAGAAGCAAAAATAAGCAATTCCATAACATCTTCCACAAAGTGTTCAGGCATACATGCGAATTCCATGGGGCAAGATTGAGGTAAAGGCATTTTGAAACCACCAATTCGACTCACTAACCAAACCACCATTAACTGATAGAAAGATAATGCCTGTTGAAGTAGTCCTCCATCCTAACAATAACATACAAAAAAAGGATTTGAAAAAACCGAAACTCGAATATTGAAAAAAAGGAAAAAGACTAATTTACCCTCAGTATCTGAGCTTCATAACATAATTTCTCCTGTGTTAACGTTTCAATTTCCTTCTCAAGTCGAGCAATTTCCTGAGCCACTCGAGGGGAAGGTGTTTGCTCTTGCATGGTTTTCAAGGTTGCTAAATTATCTTCACATCTTTGAATATCCTGCAACCAAATAAAGCATTGTATTTTTTTTTTTTTACTTTTTTATTTTTCTTATTGTACTTTGAATCATGGGATTAAAGAAATGAATACCTGGACAAGATGCTTGAAGTCTGAAAAAGCTTTCAGAAGACCCAAATTTAGAACCCGAGCAGTCATAAAGAAACATTCACAAATAAATGAATAGTTTTGACTTGGTTGACCAGAACTTGTTGTTTCTTGAGACTGAAGCAACCTGTTTTCTTCATTATTTGGCTTGTTTTTGTTTAACCATTCAGTAACTTCTTCCGAAGATGCATGAAGAGCAGTTAGTTCTCTGTATTCAGTTGAGAATCATATGATCAAATTCATATTAAGGGATTGTAGTTTCAATCTTTTCTTATTTAGAAAAGATACATCTACAGTAGATAAAGAGTATCTTACTTGAAATCCAAACGAGAACCATAAAAGACATATTTAGGGTCAATTTTGTCTTTCTTTGTTGAATTTGCATCCAAGAAAGGTTCACACAATCGAAGCATAACAGCACTAAGGTTCACAAACATGCCTGAACTTGCAGAAGACATAGGATCAACCTATCACCAATCACAAATTATCCAATATTAATAAAACTTTCACCTGGATAGATAAATTATGTCTTTATGGTCAAAAAAGTTTTTTTTTTACCTGGATATGAGCCCTTGATGCATTTTTGTTGATCACTTCTGCAATATATTGGAGCACATTCTCTCGTGTGTTTGTGTTCTTTAAAAGAGACCTAAGAATTTCTGCCAATCCATCGTATAAATTGTTCATGACAGATTTGATAGTTGCAAATGAAGATAAAAGGTCAGCAGGGCGTCTTGTTGATGAGTCCATAAAACACTGCTCGCTGCATATTCCATGGATATGAAAGTTAAACAAAAATGATCTAACAGAGAAGATATAACTTGAAAAGGTAAGTCATATAATAGCCATGGAAATAGAAAATCAAGATCAAACTCACCCAACATCAGGCTGACTCTTGTAAAAACTTTGATCGGGAAGAGCACTGATATGAAAAAAAGGACCCAAGATGCTTGTCATCTCAATAGCACGGCCATTTATGAAAAAACCTTTGGGAATCCACCATTGATGATTCACCAAAGCTTTAGCACCAACTGGAAAACTTATCAAGTACATCAAAGCCCTCAATGGCTGCTGAAAGTTTCCAAGAGCAGAACACTTGAGTACAGTTCCTCTCAAATCCTCATACAACTGCTTCAAGATCGTTTCCATGGAATCGTAATCTGAATCCCTAAACAACTCATCCAAAAAACCAGGAGGAGAAGAGGCACCACCACTACTACCACCACCAAAAGTATCAATGGAACTAGAAACTTCAGAGAAAATCAAAGGCAACAATGGAGAAACATTCGATTTATCTCTTTGGGAATCGGCGAACATATCGGGGTTACCTAAGTGAATTCTACAATAGGACACTGCTAATTTCTTCGCTTGATTTACAACTAACTCCATCTGAGCCCTAACTGTTTTATCTTTCATATTAGCGATTTTCTTCCCTTCTTCATATGCGCGACGATAAATCCCAACTAGGTACTGGAAAGGGGTTTCCGCAGAAGTGAAATTACCTGATAGACGATCAACAAGAACTCGTTCCATCACATCCCTAGAAAGTCTCAGTTCACCGCCTTCGCTTAAAATCTCAGCTGCCGTCATCTCCAAGTAAACAACTCGTGTATCGTTCCCCATTGAATCTATTAGGGTTACAAGGAAGATTTTGCGTAGGATTATGTCCTCGATTTCCTCAGGCGATCGCTGCGGTTTTGCGGTGGTCGTCGCCATAGTCTCGGAATTGATTGATTTGATTAAAGACGGTGAAAATGGGCAGGTTTGATTATTTTGAATGGGTAAAGAAGAAGGATCAACAAAAAGTTTCTAAGAATTTTGTTTCTCCATTGTCAACAAGCCAATGGATACATATACGTATACATAAATAACATAATAGATAGTAATAGTTTACATACATAAAATTATGTATGTACATACAAAAATCACAAAAAAATTATTTGGTATCATTTCTCTCACAAAATACATGTCTTCAAAATTTTCAATTGAGTATTTTATTTTTGTTTATACCCCTTGGTTCATGGCGGTTAAGCAATGGTAAATCTTAATACATTATGATTTTTGTTCAAAACTATAATGTAGAATTTCCGGATATAATTTATTCTGATTTATGAAATTTGGTCAAACTTACGACATGCTTAGAAGGCGTACCTAATATCAATATGTTTTCCCAACATCCCACATTGAAATATGTTACAGAGATAGTCGGTGAGAGTGACATGAAACATTTGAAAAAAATTATTCATAAAGTCCCAACTGGTAGACATATGTATATGGTAGAGAGTGCTCTAGTGGAAGATGCTCTAATTGTCCAATGCAATGAAGTGGAATAATCAACTGTTGGTATGAATCAATCTATCGAAAAGGCTCCGATGAGAAATGAGCTAATGGAAGAGGAAATAGTTCAGGTGAGAATAGATATAGCGAAAGAGGTGGCAACAATCACATATGTATTTTTATCTCTCAAAGTGTTCATCAATATCCTCATGGACATGATGTATGTGAAACACCTTAACAACCACCTTTTCATTATGTCGATGTGGTATAACCACAAAATCCTGGATATGTTGTATATGAAACACTAGAAGTATGTTGGTGATGATAATGTTGTTATATGTAACAATGTTGTTCCCACACATAACAATGATGTTGGTAAATATGATGATGCATATGTCACTAAAGATGATGATACAAATGTTGGTATAGGTGATGATAAAGATTACAAAAAAAATACTTCTATTGGTGGATGATATCAATCTACTTCCTTATGCCGTTAGGTTTTTATATAGACCTACCTTTTGACCTTGAAAAAAGATGATACTAAAATTGAATGATCGGATGATGATACATATACATAATAACATTATTCTATGGTATACATGTTATACTACGATATCTAGATTCGATATATCATACTACACATAGGCAAAACTCGTCAGAAAGGATCGAAAACCTACAAACATTCAAAGACAAATAAGTTTTCCAACTAGCACTAGGATTGCAAAGTGTTCATAATGGATTTCAGTACAAAACTAATAGATCTTTAAAAATAAGGTTTCAAGCATCATGTTAACAAGATAAATTTAATTGGAGTATTTTGATTGTGCGACTGGAGACTAGTGGCATGTTCTTGGTCTGAAAACTTGCAGAAGAACACACGCTTAAAACCAAACCATCGTCAAGCAAACAAAAAAGTTTTGGGTCGTTTGATTTTCGAGGTCTTAAATAGTAATTATAGCAGCGTCTTACTTGGAACCGACATCCAACAAGATTTCAATTGTAAATACAAAATAAATATTTTCACAGATGATATATGTAGAAATGTTATTTCTCAATAAGTTTTTTTTTCTTTGAAATTAATACTTCACTACTCACTACTTGTATCTTACTAAACATTCAGAAAATCAACAATAACATGTATACTTAATATATTTTTAAAATCTACAAAAAAGCAATAACCTTCAAATAAACTTCCAACATCTTAAAATGTGATCTTTAAAGCGAGATCGATGTATAAGAGTAACATTGAGAGCAATGTGTTTGAGAGTGTTTTTTAGAGAATTATAAGTTTATATTTTTTATAAAACGATGGAAAAAATGAAAATTAACGTTTTTATACATATAATATGTAGGACCACTATTTTGCATGATGCGTCTACGAAATGAGTATCATCGAAACAGCGTCGCTTGGATGATTGTGTAGTTAGTACGCCCATTTAACATATGCTATAATGATGACTATTTTGGTGATTATCAACTTTCGACAACTTTTTAAAAAGTAGTGAATGAGATTACAATTTTTTTTCTCTTAAGCTTATTGGAATTCTTCTACAAAAAAGTGTATTATATTTTGTTTTAATTCTTTAATTGATCAATTGATGTGTTATATCATTGTAACTATATTTTATATTTTTAATTAATTTGTATTATTAATACTCCGTATAATCTAATTGGGTACATCCTTTGATTGCTAACACCTTTCGTATATATCAATTTGAAATTGAAATAATATGAAAACATCTTTAACTTGGAGCAAAAGTCTCAATTCATCAAAACGGATTAAATTGTTCAAAAATATAACAATGAATAATCCATACAGATACATACATATACCCCGTTCCTGAATTCAACTTAATGAGAGAAAAAAAATGAAATGAGTGGAAATGAAAAGAAAATAAAAGAAATTGGTGTTCCCGAGTTTCATTAAAGGAAGGAAGTGGAAGGAAGCGGATGGAAATGAAAAGATCACAATCCCTCCTAAGTTTCCTTCCGATTTGGGAGGATTTGGAAAGAAAGAACAAAATGATTAGGGTGCGTTTGGTTGTGGAAAATTTTCTAGTATTCTAGGAAAATTTTCCAAGAAAAAATTGAAATTTTGAAAACGCGTTTGGTTCGTTCAGTTTTCCAAAATTTTCCAAGAAAATGAAAATTTCCAGTTTTTCAAATTGTATGTAAGTTAAAAAAGTGATTTTTACAGTTTTCCAAATTTCTAAGATGGAAAATGAAAACTCTCCCGCTTTCAACCAAACGCGTTTTCTAGATTTTTCATTGAAAATTGAAAATGAAACTCAATTCCATTTTCTGAAAACATTTTCTTAGAAAATGAAAACAATTTTCCACAACCAAACGCACCCTTAATTTTCCATCCACTTCTCTCCAACTCGGAAACATAAAAGAAAATTTTGTTTTACTTTCCTTTCTCTTCTTTTCTCTCCTGACTTTCTTTTCTCTTCTTTTCTTTTCTTTTGTTAAACTCGGGAACTAGGCGTAAAGGAAGAAAATGGAAGGAAGTAGAGGGAAATGGAATGATCACTTTCTCTCCTAACTTTCCTTCCGATTTGGAAGGATTTGGAAAGAAATAATAAAATGATTAATTTTCCTTCCACTTCTCTCCAACTTGGGAACCCAAAAGAATTTTTTTTTCCTTTCCTTTCTCTTCTTTTCTCTCCCTACTTTCTTTTCTCTTATTTTCTTTTCTTTGTTTAAACTCGGGAACTAGGAAAGGAAGGAACAGAAAAAAAAAAGTAAATGATGTTCCTTTCCTTTCTCTCTAATTTCTTCCATTTTAAGAGGATAGTTTCTAAGAAAGATTAGTATAAATTTTTATTTCCTTTCTCTTCTCTTCTTTCCAATAAATAAACTCGGTAGCAATGACCTTTTCTCAATCCTCCGACTTTCTTTTTTTCTCTCCTTGAATGAACTCTGGAGCAATGTGTAAAATCATTAAATATGTGTTCATGTGACTTTTTCTTCTCGATGCATATTATGGTATAATATGGTATTTGTTTCTCACATGAGCTCATGTAAAATAATGTGTTAGACTCGTGTAACTTAATATATCAATGACATTAAATTTATGAACTTTAAAGATAACATCTTTTCATCCGAAAACATAACAAAGACATCTTTTATCTTTAAAAATCTTTGAGGATTGTATATAAAATCATACATCATTATATCAAACATAGTAAATGCTAAACAATTTATATAATGATGCAACTCATGATATGAACTCACATATCCAAACTCCAAGTCATCTCGTATCATTTCAATATCCTCAACATCTAAAGAGTGTTACATTTTTACTCCTGGCAGATGGTTAGATACAGCATGTTAAACAAGTTAACACAAAGCATACTTAATAAATAAAAGCTCAAACAATATTGTAAAGCTAGGCAACACCTAACCATCATATATGCACCACATGTTATAAGAAAAAAAAAACAGATAAATTCTCAATTTTACATCTTTAGCCCATTTTTTGTTTTAAAATGGTGTTACCAACTTGTTTTTTTTTTTTTTTTTTTTAACTTGTTGTCAAATCTTTTTATAATCTTTTTCATAACCCTTTTACACTTTCATACAACTTTTTTTTCACTACGATTTTTCCGTTTTACATTTATTTTACAATTCTACTTGCTTTTATTTTTTAAAATTAAAGACCACAAGAGGCTGTTTGTCATCAATTTTGGATAAGAAAAAAAAATGATTTACCAAATCTGGAAATAATTTTTTAAAATATAAGCATTAACATGATAACATATTTATTTTGTTTTATAAGTTAACACTGTCTTTGGGTTTTAACATTTTCTTAAACAGTGTTAACCAGTTTGTACAACAAATTTCATATGTTAAGACTTATCTTTTTAAAAATTTATAGTTACTATTTGCAAAGTTTGTAAACCATTATTTCTTTTCCAAATTTGAGGACAAACATATTTTACGTGTGATGTTCAAATTTTAAAAAAATAATAATAATAATAAAACGCAAGTAGAAATGTAAACAAAAGTAGGGTAAATTACATCATTCGTCCCTTGTGCACATGCCAGAAAGCGTGTTTAGTCCCTATTTTCAAAAATTAACTCGGACCGTCCCTCGTTCGTATAAAACTTGCATGTTTAGTCCCTTTGGGCATAAAAAGACCATTTTGCCCTTATTTATTTCTTTTTTAATTTTCTTTTTATTTGTTTATTATATTTAGATTAAAAAAAAAATAATAATAATAAATGTACATACATGAACCCACCCCTCCCCGCTTCCCCCTCCTACGTATTCCTCTACCTTTGTCCCCCCCATTCTCAGCCACTCCCGACGTCGGCAAAGCCCCATCACCCCCACCTTCACCTTCACCCCAAGCGATAAACCAAAATCGGACCAATCGATCTTCATCCTCCTCCAATCGCCTCTATCAAACCTTAGAACTCAAGAAGGAACTATACATGGAATCATCAACAGCACCACCATCTCCGGTGGAATCATCAACAACACCACAATCACCACCACCATCTCATATCTCCACTCAACCATAAGTCGCCTCTCGTTTTTACTGTTCTCGATTTGCAACAAATCAGAAGATCGAAAAGAGAGAAGTAATCTGCGATTTATCCTTTCCCCAATTTCCTTTCTTCTTCTTCTTTGAATTCAATCGGTCATCTCTCTCACTCTGTCTCACAGGCCGCCAGCACCTCCTGCAATCACCACCAATCATTATTCAAACCTCAAAAAATGAACCCTAAACCTACAAATGAAACCAAACTAAACCCTAAACTTATAAATCAAAGATGATGGAGATTCAGATCAGAGAAGCGGGTTCAGATCGAACCCAAATCTTCTCTATCGACAACGGAGACGGAAAGGTGATCACATTCCGGGCGGTGTTTAAGATGGTTTTCAGGGCCGATTCGATTGCTGTTCTAGGCGGTTTTGGTAAAATAAAGTTTAGAAACTGGGGGGATAGAGATGGTTGGCTTCGAGGATGGTATAATGCAGGTGGTAGTTGTTGTTTGGAGGCAATGAAATGATGATGTTCGAATGGTGCAGGTTGTATGAAGGTGCTTCCGACTGAGGTGGGTTTTCCGATTTGAAGGTAAGGTTTCAAGTGGGTGTTGGTTGCGGTTTGTGACGATGAACAAGGGTGCAACAAGGGTGTTCCGATGGTGGTGTAACCCGTCAAAGGAGGAGGTAGGAAGCTGCTGGTGGGTTTTAAGGTGGTATAAGGTATATGATTGAGGAAGAAGGGTGGAATTGGGAAGGTAGCGATGTAAGTATGGTGTTTGAGAGATGCAGGTGGTGTTTATCTGATGATCTGTTGGGGTAGGGGTATGAAGTGGGGCCATATTGTTTTTTCTTTTATTTTTAAATTAAAAATAATAGTTATAACATTAAATTAAATGGAAAAGAAATATAAAATGGCATAATAGTCATTTTAGGTTTCGCAAGGGATGAAACTCGCAAATATCAACCAAACGAGGGATGAAGCGTGCAACTATTAACCAAACAAGGGACGGTCCGAGTTAATTTTTGAAAATATGGACTAAACACGTTTTCCGGCATGTATACGAGGGACGAATGGTGTAATTTACCCACAAAAGTATTTCTACAGTACCTAAATAAATATGTTAAAAAAAACATTAGACAATTAGACAATTGTAAAAAGAAGTTATAAAATAAAGTTGTATGTAAATTTCAAAAATGTTAAAAGATGTAAAAAAAATATATAAAAAAAAATTAAAGATCATACTGAAACATTGCTATACTAAATCACACAAGTCCAAATAAACTTTAAACAAAAATTATATAAAAAAACATACATATAATAAAAATATAAAATAAAACAATCAAACAAAATAACTAAATAAACAATCTACATTAAACATTCATCAAAGGATTCTTGAGGCAACATAACTCGAAATACAGCATAATGATGATTTAAGCTTTTCTCTCCTTGTAACCTATGAACACTTCCAAGCGCACCATCACTCTTATTTGGGAACGCGAAGAATATACACTTCACTCTTTGATGTACAAGCGCCATCGCACACCTGCTCAAAACAACATACTGATACTGATACTTGATACTGATACAGACACTGATAAATAAGATAACACAAAGTTGTAATTAAAGAACTTACATTGCGCACGGTTCCCAAACAAGATAAATGTCATAACCCGTACATAGATACGGTCTGCCATTTGACTGAGAGTTGACCACCTCCTCTTCGTTCTTTACCTAAAAATAGAAGAAAATAGCAACCTACTTTAATTTTTTCACCAATATAAGGTAATATAAATATACTTTATCTTTTACCCATAATAGCAATGTACTTACATTTTTTTTTCTATGGATAATAGCAATTTGTAACCCATAATAGCAACATAATTACAGATTTTGACCAATAATAGCAATATGTAACAAATAAAGTAGATTTGCCCATATTGGTAGCAAAATAGGGCTTTTGACATGAAAGTCCTTAAGTTGTCAAATTTTGTCGGTTTTTGTCCCTGTGACGATTTTTTGTTCATTAATGTCCAAATTTTGACAAACTTAAGGATTTCCATGTCAATTTTTGAAAACATACTTAGGGTAAAACCGTAAAAACATAAAAGATTTGTAAACTTAAGGACTTTTATGTCAAAAGCCCTAGCAAAATATAACTACATTGCTATTATTATGGGTGTAACAAAATAAATAAATAAATGAGCTTACATGGATAGATTTGATCTTTTGTTTCTTTAACAAAGGATTTGTTTCATCAAGATTATCTGCAACATGTTCATTGTCATGAAAAAGAAGTTTATCTCTAACTGAAGAATTTTCAATGGCTACAATGGCAGCATGTCTTAAAGGATGCCATGCACATGACTTCTGATTGGACCATTTCCATGGATTTAAACAAGAAACACCATTGCCATAATTTAACAATTTGGGTTTTGTAGCTGAAGAATTTAAAAGCAATTTGTCATGATTTTGAGAAGTTGCTTCATGATTTATGGAACAACAGCTGCAAGAGTTGACCTGATCACGTGCTTCAGCAATCACCTCATTGGTTGAAGGATCAATGATAATAGCAGCATTCATCATCTGCACATAATGAAATTGCTTTTATTTTTCTTTTATATAAAGTTTTAAGGATAATTTTACATTTTTCTTTATTGAAATTTCACCTGGCATTCACATTTTGCCAAATCAAGTGCTTGTTTCATGAAGGTGCAAACAGAGTTAGATTCCTCTTTTGAAAACCCCGTAATGCCCCTTATATTGCTACAGTTTAAACCACACATTCAAATAGAAGTCAACAAAGTCAAACCATGGAAAATACTTGATTATGAAATGAAATTTAAGATGAATTACTAGGTTGGTGGATGATAAGATGTTGGCCATATTTTGCATTGTTCTATCCATTCTTCTTTTGATAATGGAGCATATTTGCATACCTAACATTAACATTAACATGAATTTTTTTATTTTTTTTAAATGATCATCTTACAATAACAAAATACATCTCTAAATCACCAAATATAGAAACAGCATACTTTTGTAATGAAAGTTTCCAACTTATAGGAATTTATAAACTCCACCACCTCTTGAGGTATATTGTCCAATTGGCTTTCACTTTCACCAGCTAAACATAAGATCACTGATAAATGTATGCATCCTGATGAAAGCAACAAAAGTCAACTATGTATAATGTATAAAATATCATATAAAGTATTGCCAAGTTTTATGTTATTTTTATCAGAGAAAAAGATAAAACCTTCATTAGGTCTTGTTTTCGAACTCGTTTGACATGATGAAGGTTTCTAATGGTAGAATCTTATTTAATTTCCTGAAAAGCAAACAGTTTTAATTAGCAATGAATGATGAAATTCAAGAAAAGGTGAAGTTATTAAAGAGGGTGTGCATACCTTACAAGAGTGTTGGCATGTTTAGGATCTATTACAGCAGCATATACTTTAACTGCAGAATATAATCAAATTCAGTAAAAAGAAAATGACAGATGATAAAGAACAGAGGTTGAAGAAGCTACCAGTGGGTTGTTGGTGGAGAGGGAAAGGTGGTTTATCTGGGATGTGAATAATTTCCCAGCTTTTATTCTCTTCACACTTGTTCATATTTCCTAACTACAAATTTTGAGTTAGAAATCATGCATAACTGAATAAATAGACTTGATGTAAGAGTCTTACAACTGTAGAAAGATGATTCATCATATGCATATATGTGTAAAATGGCCAAAAGGACCTCCTTTTACATTTTGACTTATTTGTCTAATTAACAATTTTTTTAACTAATAATTATTGTTTTTAACTAACAGAAAACATGGATCTATTGTTCATTCCAAAGTTGCCAACATCAAAATGCATAAGTTAAAAGTTAAAACATGTAATTGATCAGTGAAAACATGCATATAAAGAAAGTAACCCCTCTCATGCATTTGATCAAACAGCTTGTGTGCAATCTGATTTCTAATCTTGTGTTAATTCTAAGCAATCTGATTTCAAACATTTCTATTAAATTTTAGCGGTTTTTTCATCATCTAAACTTTGATTCCTCAGAAATCCAACCCATAAGATTAAACAAATCAAGACACTTCATAATCAGCAAAGCTAGATGAATATGGTTATTAACATCAACCGATGAACCCAAACACCAGACAATTATAAACATGAACAAGAAACACAACAACCAAAATAAGCAAAAGGCATCAGCACTAACAACATTGGTAACCTTGAAATCAATATTTTCGATTTCAACAGAAAGCAGTAAAAAAAAAGGAGGGGGGAACGAAAGCAGGAAAAAAGAAAGAAGAACTAAAGCAGGAAAAAATGAAGAAAAATGGAACCTGTAGCTGTGGGGTGCGAAGGTCTCTGGCCGTTGGCTTCACAGGGGAGGCGATGGCATACGGGGGCGAGCAGGGGAGGAATCGCTTGAGGAGCTGACAATGTGAGAAGCGAAGGAGCCGTATAGAGCTGAGTTTGAATAAGGTTTTGAACAAGTTACTTAAATGGTACTTGTGGTTTTCAAATATTTCATTTTTGGTCCCTAACTATTTTGTTGTATTCGGACCGCCTACCATATCATTTTGTTATGTTTTTAGTCCCAGTAGAGATAAAAAAAACTATATTGCCCTTTGTATTTTCTTTTTCATATTTCTTTTATTGTTTATTAATATTACAAAATAAAATAAATAATTAATAGACATATAAGTCTCACTCCCAACCCTACCACACCATCCCAACCATCTCACTCTCTCATCTCTCCCCTTAACCCATACTATCTCATATCATCAGATGAAAGAAATATAACCTACACCCCTGGAACTCAGCTACCCACCACCGAAGCCACCAAATTGCGACTACCGAAGCCACCAAATCGCGACTACCGAAATCACCAGATCGCGACTATTGAAATCACCAGATCGCGGTCGTGAACCACTGGATCGCGTGGAAGCACCAGAAAACGCTATCACTGCCATATACTATGTATTTTTAGATTTTTCTTCACACCCCTTATTTTGACTTTGCTCTCTCGCCGGAAACCGCTGCCGCCACCATCATCAGAAACTTCTATTTACTCCGCTCTCTCGCCAGAAGCCGACATCGATTTCTCCCTACTCAAAGTCGCGAACCGCGCCACATGTGCGGTTTGAGATTTTCATAAACCGCAACTGCACCGCGAAGGTTCTAAATCGTGTTATGCGGTGTAGTCAGGTGCAACGGTTTTAGTGTGGTTTGCGGTTTTAGAATATACGTTTGAGAATATATACAAAAATATATTTTTATTTTTGTTTAGATTTTTTGTGCTTCCATGCTGCTTGCGATCCAAAAACATAAATAAGCAACTCATTTTTAGTCCCTCTTATGCTTCATCGAGAATCAAATAAACAACTTTATAAGCAAAAAAAAAAAACGATCACAATCTTATTAGTATCTATTTAAAGAAAGATCTATAGTGAGATTTTAGGATTCCTGATTAGAATCTTAAGATCGTAACACGGTCTGATCAACCACTTTAGTTTTATCATATAGTCGAGCCTCAAAAATCCATCTATTCAACTTGAAATCAATTATCGCAAGTTGCAAGAAGTCTCATAAAACATTATCACTTCATCAATTCATCTCGAATTAGACAGGTCACATTCATGATATCCCCTTTGTGATCTTAATCATTTAGTTGTACGTGATCTTGTTATTTCTTATTTTTTTTATTTTTTATTTTTATTTTTCTTAATCAAGATGTTTTCTTCCTAATATTTATGGTTTGCAATAACAAAAGTTATGGTTCATACTAAAAAGTTAAAGTTGATTCCATATCAACATCAAGTTATGATGTATAATGCACACCCAAGATCTTACAGGCAAATTTGAATATGAGTTCATTATAATAGGATTTCAATCCCGATCCGATTACGATCATGATCTTGTAATACATAGAATGATCTTGGATAAGATCACAATCTTGACAACCATTATAATCTCAAACATATTATTAATCGATATCAAATCAATAAATATGATATGATATATACAAAAATTGATATGATTTTTAAAATAATTTGAACAAAGAGAACAACTTTTAATGTTGTATGATCGCTTTAAAAAAAATGCAAAAGTAATCGATGACATTTCACAAATGATTAATGTCGTATGTAAAAAACTATTTGTTTTTTCACAAAATATCTTTAATCTAAAAAAATTCATATCAAAAGGTTAACAATGAAATTAATGAATCTTGTACCTCTATTCAAATAGTCCCTCCGTCCTAATATTATTGTCCACAGACAAAAAACACACATATTAAGAAAAACATTAATTACGACTAACTTTATTTAATAAAATGATAATTTTGTCCTTACTTTGCATTTAATGTTCCATTAAATGTTTAGTTGGTTAAGTAATAATGAGGGGGTATTTTGGTAAAAATATTATTTATTTTTAGAAGTGGACTATTATTTTGGGACAAACCAAAAAGGAAAGATGGACTATAATTTTGGGACGGAGGGAGTGGTATTTTTATGAACAAAAACAATTTGTTATTCATTTATAACCCTTTTTACAATAATGGTTTCTCATATATAAAAAAATAAATAGTTTGTTATCTGTTTATGACATTAAACATTTCACATAGTAATTTTCTGTTTATCATGCAATGCGAAGAAAACTTATATCCATACAAATTTCTTTATTCAAACATCTTTTTCGAAAGGCCAATAAAGATGACCTACCCCAAAAGGTCAAACTTATGTGAGTTATGTCTAACCTTTTGGACGGGCCTATTTTATATGTTATAAACCACTCTCATCCGGTAGAGTCCAATAAAGCTAAAAATGTTTGGCCAAGTTATAGAAGTCATGACCCCTGTCAAAAATGTTCTATATAGAGTCAAATGTCAAAACCAATTCATCTATTCTGCTAACCCAAACTTAAAAACAAAACCAAATTATTTGGGCAAAACACAAAACCATGATTAGGACCGTTTGATCAAAAAGTCTATAATAACTAAACGTCTACAAGCAAAATTATAAAAGTCATGACCCCTACCAATTACAACAGTCAAATTGAATTTAATGAACAACCTAAATTGAGTTCGGTGGTTTGGTCTAAGGTTGTCAAGATCAGTGGTTTGGTCCAAGGCTCTTAAGATCAGGGTCCTACATATGATCGTTTTCAAGTTTTCAAGTTAGGATTAGGATCCCACAAAAATGACATAAAAAGGTAATTGATTGTACACGATTTTTTTTTCGTATTCATGGTTAAATAGCTCACCATGTAGTAGTTATTAACAATCCAAAGTTAAATCTCAAACTTTTACATTGATGAAGGTAAAACGTAAAAGGAGAAAAGGAATTCTATGATTGTTGGTCGGTTCACAAAACAGTATAAAAATGGGGCTATTTTCAATTAACCTTTGGGTAGGCAAACCGGGTCAACCAACAGTAAAAGAGCATAAAATAACAAAAACCCGAATTAAATTTTGGCAAATTTCATGAATTTGTATGATCGGATCCTGATCCTATTTGCAATCTTACATACAAAACGATCATATTGCAATTTGGCAAGATTTTCATAGGTAGGATCATAGGATCTTACGATCCTACGATCAAAATCTCGATCTTGACAACCTTGGTTTGGTCAACATATAATTTGGTTTCTGTTTTAAATCCACCCCTAACAAAATATATGTTAAATCCATCTGCATTTTGCTTCCAAATACACATAAAAAACACCGCATGTACATAACGACATCCAACATCTTTTTGAATCCATCTACCATCAATACAATAGTTCAAGAAACAGTATGCGTCTAATAAAAATATATCACAATAAAAGATTGCAGCTTGGACCGAAAACAACAAGTCAAAAAGGCAGCCAATTTGTGCATTTCCAACCAATCTCCCCCATCTTACACTCGTAAACCTGCCCATGAAAGTCAAAAACAAAAATTAAGTCATATCCCTGTGAAATTAAATCCTATTTAAGTCAAAAAGAAACAACACCTTAATCCTGTAAGCTATATATATGTTTGTGTTCTTTTTGACTTAATGCACAAATAACAACTTGATAGAAAAAAGTCATGGAAATGAGACTTTCTTTCTTTCCCCCCATTAAGTACTAACTTTTTACAAATTTACCATATGAAGAAACAATACATAAGTTATGATTTTGGTGTTTCTATATATAATCCTACCATGACTTTCACTCAAACAATTAAACAAATAAATCTAAATTTGGCAAAACCCAATTAGAGTCAAAATAATCAAATTTGGAGAGATAATAAGTAAATATTAAACTACTTAACTAATTACCTTATTCTGATTCTTGAAGTCTTCAATAATCACTTTGAAAACTTCAAAACGCACATCCAAATTCCAAACACCCCTTAAATCATTTTTAAAGTAAAAAAACAAGATACTATAAGATTAACTAATGCTTATACTAAACTTTCAAAACAACAAATTTTATAGTGACAATTTACCTGGTAACAGGACGATTCTGCCCTTCTCCATCAATCCAATTCCGACACCTCTTCAGAATCCGACAAGGGCAAAAGCGTACAAACACCAAGAACATGTCCATTCAAACACACAAAATACTCAATACAATCTTCATACGCCCCCAATCTACAACTTGCACTTTGAGGAATCATTTTAACTTGCAACATACTCCACAATTTCGCTTTACAATAAGGGCAAAATTCACTCTCATGAAACTTCGCCCCTCTTCTAATTAGCATCTTCCTTACTTTCGAAGTGGCAAATGACTTAAATACCCCTCGGAAAAACCCCACATCCCCTTCTTCTCCTTGATCCAAATGCTCACATGGGTCGGAAACATACAAAACATCCGTCCTACAATTTGGCAACAAAAAACTCTTTCCGGAAGTTCTTGAAAACCTAGTACGATGTGCAAAATGTCCTGGGATTTGGATTTTGTTGAATAAGCCGTCTTTTTTGCATCCAGAACAATAGATTAGAAGCTTCCCGAGTGCACTCCAATTGCCATCTACACTGTGGGACCCACTTGATTGAAGATCATGCATCATTGTAGGGGCCCGCGTTCTGCAAAATTCTTTCCAGAGTACTCTTTTCACAAGATCGTCAAACCATTTGCATACGCATGAGAGAGTGGCGATTATTTTAGGGTTCCAATTTAGATGTTGGAGAAGTAGGAAGATTACGTCTTCACTTAAATGGCCTTTTGTGCATATACAGCTTGCAGAGTGTATGCATCGGTATTGTTTTGTTATGATCATTGTCTGCACATTGTGACAATAAAGAGTTAAATTCAAAAAATAGCAACGTAATTGGGTGGATTTTTCTAAGTACAAGATTGAGAGTACAATGTTGCAATAGTTTATGAGACACAAATAAATGGTTAAAGGTTGATTTATCACAATTTGCGGAATCACAGTAGGAGCATCTTTAATTCTTTATTGATTAATATCCCCGAAATTGATAAAACTAAGTAGCCAAAGATCGAAACAGTTTAGAAATTTGTATCTAATCGGTAATCATTATTCGCCTTAAGCATAAATGCAATAAAGAAAACAGATAGAATTATCTTTCTATCATATAAAAAACTAAATTAAACCATGACAACAACTAACCACAAAGAGCGATGATTCCCAACTAAAATAAACTTGAAATTACAAAGAAACTGCGCAAAGATCAGAGTTAGATACTTGCCATGTTCCTCACCTCAGCTCATATGCAACACCCTTTGCAAAACAAACCACCTGCGAAGAAGAAATCAAAGGGAAAAAAGAGAACACATAAAGTTAGGGTTTCTTGAAGAACAAACATTGACAAATTACTGAAGAAATCAAAGAACCCGACTGAGGGATGTTTGGGATAGCTTTTCAGACCAAAAATCCTTCTTAGAAAAAGAACTTTTTTGATTCATATCTTTTTATAAAAGATATATTTATTTAAACTTTTTAATGGGAAAGAGAAAAAAAAGACAAAAGTTGCCAAAAGTCGACTTTTTAAAAGCCTCGTTTTTCTTCTTCTCAAAAAAGCTAATGTTTTCTAATTACCAAATAACTTTTTAAACTTTTGACTTTTTTAAAAAGTCAAAAGTCCCAAAAAAAGCCAAACACCCTCTGAATCTAGACATTCAAAACATGCATAGACTGAATCTTTACAAAACCCAGATGAAAAAAACTTGCCTTTTTTAAGGGTTTGTTGGCGTGAAGAAAATAAAAAAGGAAAATCAAGAAAGGGAGTGAAGAATGGGGAAATGCCTCTTTGGAGTAGTTGCATATCTGATTGGATGGAAAAGAAAATAAATTGAGTCGACTCGAGGAGGGTATTATTAAAGATTAAAGAAAGTGATAAAATGACATGCAGGTTATTTTAATGTGAGATAGATGACATAATGTATCGGTGATGTGGGCCCCTGTTATACGTGGATATGATTGTGATTGGGTTGTGGGGATGTATGGAAACCCATCCAAGTGACCAGGTAAGCCTTGAGATTTATCGGATGGATGCAATTGGCACGCCAACAGTTGGCATTTTCTTCAATTTGATGGGGCGTTTGGTAAATAGCCGCTTTCCTGGTTTTTTCTTTTCTTTTTAATTTAATTTATTTTCTTTTTAATTACATTTCACATTCGTGTTTGGTTTGATGTAAAAACAAACAATTACAAAATGTCATTTGGGGTAAAAAGTTATCTAACACCTTACACGTCACCTTGATTCTAATGACTTATACCATGTATTATATACTAGTTGTGAGACTCGTATACTATACGGGTTGATTAAATAAAATTTTAAATACGAATGTATTATATACTAGTTGTGAGACCCGTATACCATGTATTATATACTAGTTGTGAGACTCGTATACTATACGGGTTGATTAAAATAAAATTTTAAATACGAATTATTAAACAGAAACTTTATTTGAATTTGAAATTTGAAATAAGTAAAAATTATGAAAAATACATGTAAAAAATTAAATTAAAATTATGTGTTTAGTTGTTAGACTCGTGTATTAAACGTGTTAATTATAACAAAATGTTAAATACGAAGGTTTAAACTGTAAATTTATTTAAAATTGAAATTGAAAATTGAAATTAATATAATCATTATGATATTGTTAATTATGGAAACTAAATTAATGATATATTGAAAAATGTAAAATGAAGTAAATGACAAATGAAAAATAAATATCTAAAAATTATAACAAAATGACATGTAACATAATCCATAAGAGAATGACATGTGACAAAATTATTTTCATTTATTAGGGAGGATTATCAATTTTTATTATTGGTTTAGATGATTCATAAAATATATTATCTTCGGAATAATATATTATCTTCGGAATAAGTATAAAAACGATATCATTAGTCTTTTTGGTTTTATTTAATTGCAACTTTTTAGTTACTTAACATTATTAAGGTGTTGTTTGTTTTTTCGAAACAAAAATTCATAAAATTTGTGGACCACCTCTGCAATCCTCTGCAGTAGAAGAGGTAGATCAAACGTCTGTAGTCTGTAATAAGAAGCATATTTGTTTTTTTAACATCTACAGACTGTTGCGGTAAACTGAAATTTAAATAAATTTGTAGCACCCGGGTCGCCAGGTATGAAGTTTCTAACTTAGTCTATTTTTCAATTCAAGTTAAGGTGGTGGAAGGATGGTGAGTACGTTGGGCGTACATTATGTACGCATGGCGTAATCGCTGCATGCGCGCCATCGGGGATCCTCAACGTACGCTGGGAATACCCATGCGTACGCTGAGCGTAACCAAGCCAGGGGCAAACCCTAATTTTTACGGTTTGCACCCTATTTAAGGACCTTAAGTCCCCCAAGTCCCTTACCTTTTCAACCTCCATTGCCTTGTAGTGTAAATCTCGAACCATAAGCCACCTTGAGTGCATTTGTGAGCTTTCTTGAGTGATTGTGGTGTTATTTGGTGACTTTGAAGGAGAAAGAAGCTTGGGAAGAAGAAAGGACGTGGGAAGAGCTTGTAGATCCAGAAGATTGGCACCATTCCTGACCCATTGAAGGTATAAAGTTTAAACCTTGATCAATACAAGCTTAGATCTAGGTTTAGGATAGAAATGGTATCTTTTGGTCCCATAGTTTGGATTCTTGGAGTATGAGCAGTTTCAGACCATATGAGCTGTCCTTATGGACTCCTGGAGGTGTTTTGAGTTATAAAATCAGATCTTTATGGTTAAGCCACAACCGTGCAAGTGTTAGGGACCATCCAAGTTGTTAGAAATTTGGGGTAATAATGACACTTGGAAATCTGAGAATCGTGATTATCACTTTCAAATTAAAGTATTTGGGTGGTACTCCCTAATATTTGATTGGATAAGACTCGGAGAGACAAGAATAGAGAGTATTTGATGATAATTTCGTATGTACCAGAAAATGTGACCAAAACCAACATTTAGATCTCTTTCTGAAATATGTAATATGACGGTTTCAAACTGTCATGAAACCATAAAAACTGACATAAAAACGTATATTTGGATAAGGGTCAAACTAATGGCTAATTCTCTGAAAAACCACTTTTCTGATGGATTTTTAATATAGTAACATACCATATATAAAAAATTTCCACGCTGAGATCGACCCCAGCCAGGTCTTGGACCCCGTCAGGGGCTGTCACCCCTTGGACCCCGCTCCCAAGGGCGCTGCCCCTGGACCCCCGTTCGTTCAGGGGCTTCGTCCCTAAATGACAGTGTACTTTGAAACTTGATCAAACTTAAACAAGCGTGTACTCCACACCTTCCTTACTTGTTTAATATTTATCAAAATCACTTTTGGTCAACAAAGCAATCCCATTACACTTAAAATAACATTGATGATAACAAATCACCAACAAACCTCCCCCATTTAAGTGTAATCTTGATTAACTGAAATGAAACATAACACCAACAAACTGATGCATAAATGAAATGTCGTGACGACTGAATTTCACATTTGTATATTATACAATCCAAATATTCGAATATCAGGGTGTCACTAAGGATTGAACCCTTTCTATCCATAGTGAATACATGAAGATAATACACACAACAGTTTACATTCTTATAAGTTCTAACTTGACACTATATTTTACTAGCTTGTGTCCCATCCTTCAATAAGCATATCAAAGCCAAGTCCTAACTTCTTGAAGCAGCTAAACTTCATGCTTATATAGGTACTCCTTTTATTCTTGCACATGAAAATGCAATTTTTCAAAAGAACTATTAAGAATATAAATTCAACCTCCTTTACTTGCAGTACTGAACACATACCTTGGGATGATGATAATAATGTGTTCCAATATTCAAATATCAAGCTTTCCACATTGAATTCAACATCTAATATTACATTAGATGGGAATTTGGTATCTCAATATAAAAGATTTTAAGTGGACTTTAAACCCATCCCTACAGCCCCCTTGCGCACAAGATCTCTTGCTAACCCTTTGGATAGATGATCGACTAAATTCAACTAAGTTCTTACAAAATCCACAGATATCACACCAGTCATGATGAGCTCACGAATCATGCTATGTCTAACACCTAAATGTTTAGACTTTCCATTGTACACTTGACTATAAGCCTTAGCCAAGGTTGCATCACTATCACATCCGATAGAAATGGTAGATATTGGTTTGGGCCATAATGGAATTTCATAAATCAAATTCCTTAGCCACTCAGCTTCTTTACCAGCAGCAGACAATGCAACAAACTCAGACTCCATGGTTGAGTTTGATGGGTTTTAGTATACTACAACATCATATGGTGCACATACAACCCTAAATGTTTTGGATCTATGTTTTCTCTAATTATACATGCAATATTGTTTCCAAAGCATTAAGCCTACAACTAGCATACAATTGACATAAACATCATAGAAATGAGTTATAGAATTACCTCTTTGTTGTAGCTTGTAGTTTTGGCCTTTAAGAACTTAGTGCCCCAAGTGTGACACCTCAAATGGTTCACAACACACCTTGGACAAAGGATGGCTTTAGAGAGAATATTCTTACACTCAAAATCGGCTCATGGACTCTTAGAACCTCTAGTGCCCGATTTTGGATGCTAAGGGGCTTCTTATATAGTGTGGCAAGATTAGGGTTACATCCATGCAAACCCTAATGCCCATGACCTTTCATATTACTTAGGATCCATGGGTTAAACCTCCATGGACTATCCATGGACTACCATATTGGTTTAGCCCATCTTAAATAACAATTAGCCCACACTATAAGAATCATTGATTTACCAAATCAATCCCCATATATTTAATTAGTCTCTTTTGATCACAAAATTAATTATTGATCAATACCAAATTAAATCACATGATTTCATATTAATATATTAGAACTTATAATATATTAACAAATCATAAAAAACCTCTTCTCAAAAGTCCATCCTATCAAATTGTCGAGGTGATATGCAACCCAAATGGACCATGCTACTCTCGGGTCAAGTACATACTGTCACACCCCCAAACCAAGGATGGCAGAAACGTCCGGGGGTGGAGGACTTCATGTAAAGTATCACAACAACGAGTATAATAGTGCTCAAAGTAAATACAACCATCATAAATATAATTGAAAAAGTTACATCATAGTATGTGATTACATGTTTCAAATCAATTACACTATGATGACAAAATGAAATGTTTGACGATTTAACGTCCCATCCTCAAAAGCTGTTGATTTCCTGTTTCA